GTTCTTTAGGCTTTTCTCAAAAGTTGTGTATATAGCCCAACTGTTATTAATTGCTGAAGGTGTATAACTTTTGTATTATCAATAATACTATTTTTATGGTTTCTCATTTGAAATTTAGAAGAAATGCTATTGCAAAATGTCAGTAAAAAATATTAAGAAATAAATTTTACATAAAAATACTAAAACCTAATTATGGAAATGTGCTTACCCTCTAACCCAACAAAGCCTACTAAATATATTAATTCAGATACAAGCTGAAATGACGATAAAAACATGGCCTTCCATCAGTGCTGCTGAGGCATGGAAAATTTACTTATGAAACTCTTATTGTCCTCCTGGCCTCTGAGATTTTACGTAGTAATTATAATTTACAGTATTATGTTCTTACGGCTTTGGCCCCGATTAAAACATAAGGTTATAGCTTCCAAATGCACAACTAGTGGGAGTGAAATTAATAACAGCACCTAAGTGTTTCCAATAGGAAGCAAATGGGCCATAGTAAATAGAAACCCATCCCATGGTAAGATTATAAAACTGAAAAGATATATGTTATGTCCCCAAACAATAAATGAATGTTATACTAGATGCAAAATATACAAAAGTAAAACAGGCAACAAAACCTGGATCATGATAACTTATAGGTTCGAAATAATCCAGAAAGTTTTTCTTAATAAAGGCCCATAAAACCTGACAGCATCCCATTTACATGCCTTTCATTTTAGAGAAAAAACAATTTGGCCTTGACTTCCATCCAAGGTTATGGTCTTGTCCCATCTCCAACAGTCCATTATTCAGCAAGACAAGTGCTGACATTGTGACTTCCTAGGAATGAGCCTAGCCAGTGTGGCTCAGGGGTTGAGCGTCAACCCATGCACCAAGAGGTCCCTAGTTCGATTCCTGCTCAGGGCACAAGTCCAGGTTGTGGGCCCGATCCCCAGTGGGGGACATGCAGGGGGCAGCCAATCGATGTTTTCTCTCATCAATGTTTCTCTCTCTCTCTCTCCCTTACTCTCTTTAAAATCAATAAAAATATAAATAAAGAAAATGTTGTCATCAATGCATTCTTTGCATTGATTTATAACCAAAAGGGGATGTGTTAATGAAAATGGGCCACATACTAAAACTGACTAGCTCAAGGAAGGCCTGTGAAGTTGTGTTACAAACTCAGAGACCAAAAGTAACCACATAGGATGGTCTGAAATGAAAACTTTCTAAATGAAGGTCATGGTGGGCAATCATGTCCTAGGTTAGAATCTCCCCTGACAAAAATCAATCTTTACCTTAACTGAGCCTGTCTTTTGTCTTTTGTATCTATGATAGCATATCTTTGTACTATCAAGGTAACTTCCCTTTTTCCACAGCAACCACACAAAAGCAGAGACCATAAATCCCCTCATTGTTATGGTTATCAAGTGTTAATTTTTGACTGTTAACTATCCCGTACCCACCTATGTAAAAGATGTACATGTCTATCATTTTACTTTTGATCTAATCCCAGAGGCTTCCCCTCTTTCCTTTCTCTTGTCTCCCTAATCTATCACCAAGGAATGTCATGTAACCCGTATATGTCTCAACCTCTTTTGATTGTAATATATAAAATAAGGTGCAAAACTGCCATTCCCTGGAGCATTATCTCAATCTGTTGAAGTTTTGCTTCTTGGCAATTGTTGACATTTTGGGCTCAAATAAACTCACAAAAATTCTTCACAGGTTTGAATATTTCTTTCTTTGACATTTACTGGTAATAAGCTAGGAAAAGTCCATGTCAAGCGGAATAGGGAAACTAGTTGAACAGCAGTTTGCAGCCACCTAGTAAATCTTGTCTTCCCTAAACCAGGGACACTTAAGAGTAAATGGTTTACACTTCTGGTCCCCAACCAGAGGGTAAATAGCTTAAATGGCTCTACTCAGGGAGACAGATAACAGAAATACAATTAGTACCATTTGCCGACCACACCCAAGGAGAGACAAATTAAGAGAATAAAACTCATTTTGGTACATCAGCATAAAACTGATGAATATTCTACTGATCCTCCCCTAAGACCTCCCCTAAAGGCCCAGCCTTTAAAACATCTAAAAACAAAGGTCCCAGTGTGGTCTCATGCCAGGGAGATTGCCCATGCCATTCCTTTCCCCTTTCCCTGACAGGCACTGATATCCTGAACTCCAAGGGACCCCAGGACACTTGCAACCAAGGAAGCAATGGGCAGCAGCAGCTCATCCTGACCTAACTCCCTGAAGCTCTCTCCAAGGCTCCCTTTTCTCTGACTTCCCAGTGAGCCAAAGCAGTCCAGCCGGGGCTCTCCTGTTGCTGCTTCTATGCCCTTCCTTGATTCACTGCCCTAAGTGTGTTTTTGCTGCAGCGAATAAAGTCTTGCTTGCTTTGCTGCACTTTGTCTCTTGATTGAAATCTTTTCTTCAAGAAGACAAAAACCGAGGTCTCGTCATTCCAATGGTAATATTACCAAAACTGTCAGTTGCTTGCACAATAGCTAAGGTACCACTTAGTCTTGTAGGACTCTCCCACTGTCTTCTCTCCACATTCTCTCTGCTTCTTCAGTCTCAGCTCAGCCCTTGAAGGTCCGTGGTAAATTCTCCCAGCTCTGGTACATCTTCAGCCATGTTAGTGACTTCCTGTGTTACAGCAAAAGGAGACATACATATGTCCTACCTTACGTTCTATTTTATGATACAGGAGCCAGTGACCCACATGGCTATTCCAATGGCATCAGTTTACTGACTATTTTAATTTAAAGCTAACTACACTATTTAAAGTACAAACATAGAACAATCCTATTTGGCAGCACTGCTGGAATGCAGAGGTAAAAGGAAGTTTTATATTTGAGGGGCTGGTAACTTTGGTGCAGAAACAAAAATTTTCTATATATTTATTGACTTATATTGATAACTACTTAAAAAATCTTAAGCCACTGATGTTTTTACTCACAATTTCTTTCCACCCCTTAAAAGGAGTACATTATAAAGTATTTAAAAAATACTGATGGTTGTAATCTGCTTATTACCCTGATTAGACATTTCTGAATGTACAAGTTCTGAAGGGAAAATTGGCTTTTTTTTTTTTTTCATTACATGCAAATATTTCCATGAAATTGATTTTTACCTTTACAACCAGACAGATCCCAGCAGTTACGACTATCAGGGTGCCGTTCTCCATAATGTTTCTACACGTCATGTGACGGCAGGTGTCCTGGACTCTCAGTGTCCAGGGCATCTGTGTAGCCAACAGCCTTGGAAGACAGAGCTCCCTCCAGGGCAAGGGGTGGATTTGTTTCCTGAGCAGGTTCAAGATAACATCTCTCTCTGGGAAAGGTTGGTCAGGTTTGCTGGCTTCTTCAGGGATTGGGGAGTTCCTGTGCCTGTGGTTGCTGAGCTGTGACATGAACCCACGGTGTGTGCACCCACGGCCCACTCCCCATGTCACCCTTGGGTCTGGTCTTGGGGTCAGGGGAACTCATGCTGCCTGCTTGGACCTGACTCATGTTGTGTGTAACCCAGGGTCTGTGTCAGTCAGCAGCCTCCATGACACTGTGACCGGCTCCCATGTGGGCTTGAAAGTTGGGTGAAATCTCAGACCCCACAGAGCTCTTGAGAAAATAAGACAAATTAGAGTTGGTAAGTATGGACGCAAAAAGGGGTTCTATGGAAAATAACCTCACAGGTTAACCTGGTCATAAATTCCTTCCTGGGTAGGTCTTGGTGGGCTATCACACCCCAGGCATATAACCTTTTTAGTAGTGTGGATCAGTTGGTTCATTGTCATCCAGTGCACCCAAAGGTCACCAGTTCCATTCCCGGTGAGGGCACATGACCAGGTTGCTAATTTGGTTCCCAGTTGGGTGCTTACAGGTGGCAACAGATTGATGTTTCTCTCTCTCTCTCTCTCCTTCTACCTTCATTGCTCTCTAAAAATTAATAATAATAAAGAACAGGTTCGTTTGCCTTAAGCAAGGCCTATTGTTTCTGTGCATCTAGGTTAACACACCTTTGAAATGTGGGAACCCACCCTCAAGAAAGCCCATAGTTTGGTAACTTTCCTGTAATCTACTTCCTCCCCCTTGCTTTCTCCTACCTTCATGTAACCTTCCGTGTTTTCTCCTTAATTTAAAATGTATAAATGAACCTGCAGACTGTCATGAGAAGCATTTTTTTTCAGTCTGCTGAGATCTTGCTTCCAGGTGTATCCTCTGTTTGGTCCAAATAAGTTTTTACAAACTTATTGAATGGAGGGGTTGCATGTCCTTATGTTGAAGTAGGTATGTCCTGAGAAGTGGGATACACTGTAAAATGTGGGACAGGCAGAGAGGTCAAAGGTGGGGACTGAAGGTGTGCGAGGTGGAGATGTCTGGGAACAAAACAGAGCTCTTTATTTTGTGCCAACTCTTAATCCACTTCATTTTTGTCCCATTAAATTTAGACCTCAAAGTAAATGGTATCAGTTTGTACTGATCTAGGTCAGAAACAAGAACCAAAGACCCAGGTTCTTCCACATAGAAGCGATGCCTAGTCAGCTGTGTGGTCTTCACCCAGTGTGTCCTCCCCGTGGTCAGCTCTAAGGATCCTCACTGACAGTCATCCCACTGACTGGAGGGACTGCCCTCTCATCCTGAAGACTCCACTCCCTGGTCTTGCTGTCCCTCCTCAATCAGCAGAGAAAGCCTTCGGTCAAATGTGGATCAACCTGGGTCTGTCTCACACTCCCCCAGCCCCGCGGCCCCCACCCCCATGATTCCAGCATACCCAGGGTTCCCCCACCCCTGTGAACCCCCCCACACACACCCTGCTGTGTCAGGTGTACAACGTGCCCAGAACAATGGGACACGTGCTTCTCAGAGCGCAGTCGAAGAGTTGTGTGAGTAAGGGATGCACACCTTTATTGAGGATCACAGAGCACACCTTTATTGGGGCCACACGGCACACCTTTATTGGGGATCACAGAGCACACTTTTATGGGGCCACACGGCACACCTTTATTGGGGGGATTACATGGCGTACTCCTCGGTCCACTTGCGGGCCTGGATGTCGAACCTGGGCCTGTCCTTCAGGAACACGTTCGCAATTTCTGGATCCAGGAAGTCATGTGGGCTGGGGTCCACCAGCATGGCGCAGATGGCCAGCAGCACCTGGGAGACGGTGCACGTGGGCACCCACTTGGAGGTCAGCAGGTCCAGCCCAATGCACCCACTTTCATTTACGTTTGGGTGGTAAATGGGGGTGCTGAACTGGACCTGCGGTGGATTCAGGGGGTAAGTAGCTGGAAACACAATTTCTAAGCTGAAGATCCCGCCCTCGTAGGGGCTGCCCTGGGGCCCTATGACCACCCCCTGCCATGTGAACATGTCTTCCTCCAGGGGCCCCGCGGAGCACAGCTCGGGAGGGTGTCGAGAAAGGTCGAGGAACTCCTTCTGCAGGCGTTTCACAGCCAGAGACTGCGCCATGGCCGACCCTTGTCCGAGGTCCTGAGATAGAAAGGTGGGGACCAGGTCAGGGACGCCACCCTCCAGGTCAGGGGACAGGTGGGTCAGGTCGGGTGGGATGGATGGGTCAGGGGTGATGGGGGCAGGGCCGGGGACGGGGGGCAGGGCCGGTGGGTGGGTGGGGAAGAGAGGGCTGAGGAAGGAGCGATGGGACTGGCTAGACTGATGGCTCCTGGTCACCAGTGTCCTGGACACCTCTGGCTCTGCTCCCGCCACCCCCACAGTTGCCACCACCTTCTGGCTGTCGTTACCTGGAGACTCCACTGCTCAGGCCACCTGCTCCTGCCGCTGGTCCCTGCCGTCCACACCGGTGTTCCTGGCAACAGTAGGAGATCTGCTCAGTGACATCACAGTGGCCACGCTGATGAAGTTACCAAGTAAGGGGAGGGGCAGGGGCTGGGTCAAATAGTGGCAAGAATGATGGGGTTGTGGGCAGGAGGGACCATGCTGGGTAAGGCAAGATGGTGGAGGGCGGGAGGTATCATGGGAGATAAGGGAGCATGGGGGGGAGGTGTCATGGTGGATAATGGAAGATGGGGGGTTATCATGGCAGATGATGGAAGGTGGTGGAGAGGAGGTATCATGGTGGATGCTGGAAGATGGTGGAGAGGAGGTATCATGGTGGATGCTGGAAGATGGTGGAGAGGAGGTGTCATGGTGGATGATGGAAGATGGTGGAGGGCAGGAGGTATCATGGTGGACAATTCAAGATGGCGGAGGTGGGAGGAACCGTAGAGGGTAATGGAGGGAGGTGCAGGGCATGAGAGACCAGGGCTGGTAATGGAGGGTGTGGAACACAGGAGAGAACATGGAAGGCAATGGAGGGGAGTGCAGGGTGGTAGGGAACATGTTGGGTAATGGAAGGTGGTGGAGGGCACGAGGGAGGCACCATTGAGGGGGATGGACGGGGATGGAAGGAGAGAGGGACCATGGAGGGAAAGACAGGGGGAGCAGAGTGGGAGGTATGGCAGATAATGGAAGATGGTGGAGGGCAGGAGAGACCATGTTGGGTAATGGAGGGGCGTGGAGGGGGACGAGGTGCACCATGGAGAGCAATGGAGCAGGGTGAAGGATGGGAGGATGGGAATGAGGTGAAGGAGACTGGGGTGGGATGAAGGGGCCTTTGGTGGGAGGTGAGGGGGACTGGGGGTAGTCAAGGGGACTGGGGTGGGGTAAAGGGGACTGGGGTGGGAGATGGGGGGAGTGGGCAGTAAAGGGGACTGGCTTGGGGGTGAAGGGGACCAGGGTGGCGGTGAAGGGGACCGGGGTGGAGGTGAAGAGACCGGACTGGGGGTGTCGGGGAGACCAGGCCCCCGGCTTACCAGGGCTCGCGCTGTTGCCGGGCAAGGTGAACCACAGGCACCGCCACCGCCGTTACCGGAATAACCGCCGGGCGGGTCCCAGGTCCCTGTACCCCTCACCCGGATGGACCTGCCGCTCACCTCTGACCCCGGAACTTCACACCGAGTTCCGCCCCTGTCGTCGGGCTCCGCGCTCTGCGCACGCGGGCCCCTGGGAGCAGCCCCCACCTCGCGGCCCTCCCCTCCCGGTGCTCCCTGGGCCTCCCCACGGGAGGACGGGCTCCTGGGACCTGCTGCCTGAACCCAGCGTCGTGCCGTCGTCTCATCACCTCTAAAGTAACTTTCCTAACGTTGGTGTCCCTTCACTTCGTGTGAAGAATGACAGCCTTCATAGTTCCCATCTGGAGCTAAAACTCATTTACTTTTTCAAGAAACGACAGGGAAAGCAGGAGGAAGGAAGAAAAACCAGTGATCCACCTAGCCTATCTAAGGAGTGCGGTTATTTTTCTTTATGAAAACAGTCATTAACCGCTGAGGAGAACCTGCTGGGGCCTTCCCCCATTTTTATAACCAAATTCCAAGTGATTCTTATGCATTCAGCTAGGCAAAAAACCGAGGACTGGTACCTGGGAACTGCTAGACTGGACCTCTATTGCAGCACTATTTCCCTCACACACCTGACAATTTTGTGATATGTGTAATCTAATGGTCAGTCTCATCACCTTGTATATTAAAGTGAAAAGTGCAAGTGTAATGGGGGAGTCATTACACATATATATGACTTACAAAAATTAATTTATTATTGTATGGTAGGTTTAATTTAAAACACACATACACACATACCCACAAATACTAGGTGCCAGTACCAGGAAAACTTACAATTTTTAATTTCATACAAAAAGAGTCATTTACAATTAATTATTGAGTAAGTCAAATACTCATAATACAAGAAAAATATATTTTCTCATTAACTGATTAAAATTACAATTCCCAAATAGTGTGCCACTTTGAACACTATTTGATGTTATTGAAATTCTATAGGCTTCATTATAACTTTTTTTAATCCTCACCCAAGAATATGCTTTTTTATTGATTTTAGAGAGAGAGGAGGGGGAGAGAGAGAGAGAGAAACATCGATGTGAGAAACATTGATTGGTTGCAACCTAGGTATGTGCCCTGACTAGAAATTTAACCCGCCACCTTTTGGTGTACAAGATGATGCTCTAACCAACTGAGAAACCTGGCTAGGCCTATAATTTATTTTTAACGCTGAATGTAGAGTTATTTTCTTTTTTCTCTTTTGGTGGAGACAAATACCATGTTGAATACTTACGACAATCACATTTAATTACCTTATTGAGGAATAGATTGCAAAATGGCTAGAGATGTACTGAAATAAATCTTTTATTATTTTGTTTTTATTTCATGTGGGAGCTGACTCCCAGATGTTTCTGATTTCAATAATAACTTACTGGCCAAAAAAGAAATTTCTATATTTGTATGTCTAGATATTTCAGCTTCACCTAGTGTAAACAATTACCTGCGTAAGAAAATCAATTGCGCACAGCTTCTATTTACTGTTATTTAATCTTTAAGGAAAAGTTCATTATGTTTCCCAAGTTCCAATTTAACACCACTAATGTTAATAGAATGTAAAAACTTTGTCTTGGAATATTCGGAGAAAAGTGCAAATTTCATAAATCAAATTGATTTTAGAAAGACTGACATTTCTATTCTCTCTAATTATGCTACAAATATTTTTGGTTGAAAATTCTCTAAAATAACTTAGAATGGAAATGGACTTTTAAACTGTAGACTACCTATTGTTTTCTTTGTGTCTGTACCATCCATTCTCCAGTTGCTTCCTTTGCTTTTAACACTCTTATAATAACACCCTTCATAAGCTATTGATTCTTGCAACATGTGTTGATTCAAAAGTTATTCTGCTAATTTCTGCAATACACCTCTACTGCTAAACATCCCAGAGTAAAGGGAATTTTTCATTTCTAAGTGGTATAAAAATGTTTTAGATTAATATACAGATGTGTGAAATAAAGTTAGGAACAGATAATAGGATTATTGTCTAAACAAATGAATGACTATAATTTAAGTATCAGATGATCCAGAGTTGTCTTCTGTCCTCCATATTTGAGGTTAGACATATGCTTTTTATGACTTTCAAAGGGAAACAGTAAATGAATGCTCATTATATCCATTCAGTGTTTTGAGTGAGGAGGTAGGCATATACACTTCAAAAGAAGGTAGAAAGATACCCTGTTAGTCTTTCTTTTTATGAGCAAGTAAACTCCATCATCTTACTATTCTAAATAACTCACCTTTTGGCCACTGTTGTAATAACCTGATAATACTGTTTACACAGGATGGAGATGTTAGGATTGGTAAGCAGTGTGGAAAAAGAGACTCAACTAAATCAGTTACAATTGGGGCTTTGCCACTAGCTAGTGGTATGAGTCTTGGGAAATAATGTGACTTCTTTGTGATTGAGTTTCCTCATCTGTTGTAGTGATGAATGAACTTGGACTTTGGAGCCAGAATGCTTGGGTTCCCAACCCAGCTCTATCACTAACTAGCTGTGAGACCATGAGTAAGTACTTTAAGCTTCCTATGCTTTCATTCTTTCCTCTGTGAAATAATAATAGTAACTACCTTGCTCTATTTCAAGGATTATATTGATTAATTCAAGCAAAACACTTAGAAAAGCATTCAGCACATAGTGCTACATAAGTGTTAGCTATTACTATTTTTTAAATGTTTTTAGCGATTTTTTAGAGAGAGTAAGGGAAGAGAGAAACATTGATGTGAGAGAGAAACATCGATTGCTGCCTCCTGCACATCCCCTACTGAGGACCAAGCTTGCATCCCAGGCATGTGCCCTGACTGGGAATCGAACTAGGACCTCTCAGTCCATGGGATGACATTCAAGCCACTGAGCCAAACTGGCTGGGCAAGACCTGTATTTTTTTTCTTCACTGATTTTAAATGTTAAGTTTAGGTTTGTTGTATGCTTTGTCATTCATTTTGAACTCTTTGTTAGGTGATTCACCTCCTTCCATTGATTTATGATCAGTCCTGGAGATCTGTTCATTCCTTTGATTGACCTATGTTTCCATCTTTCTTCATGTTTTTGTAACTTTGTATTGACATCCAAGCATTTAAAAAGGCAGCCACCTTCCCCAGTCCTTATGGATTTACTTTGTACAAGTAAAGACCTCATTTGAGGGATTTGCAGGTCTCCTTTTTCAAGAGTTTGTAATCTTCTACTTTCTCTCGTATCCACTTCTAGTACTGCGAGTTTTTCTGCAGATTCAGGAAACTCTTTCTTCTTTTTCTTTATTTTTTCCAGCAGCCCACTCGCTTCTACAATATGCCTGATTCTGTTAATGCTCTAAGTAAGTAGAGACAGAAACCAGTCCTTCAGACCTTCAGACACCCGCCCCCCCGAAAAAAAACTAGAACTTTAGAGCATGCCGCATTATTTTTTCCTTCTGAGTGACAAGCCATAAAGCTGTATTGTCCTTTGTCTGCCATACTATAGGTCTTCTGAAGCAGAAAAAATCTACCCAGCTCTTGCTCTTTTTTGTTTCCAGTAGCCCCCAGGAATCTATAATATGTTGTCCTTGTCAGTGCTCTGAGACAGGT